AGCCTGTGTAGACCTTCCCGCCCCGCCCTGTGAAAGCGGGAAACCGAGGCTAGGGGAGGAAGATGGACCTTACCCGGGATCATACGGACGGTGGTAGCAGGATGGGGTTGGAACCCAGACCCCTCAGCTCTTTCCTGGCTTCCTTCGCGTATGTGTGTATGTGGTGGGGTGGGGGGAGAGACATGCAGTCTCCAAATTACTTCTTAGTGCTGGTCCACTACCCTGAGCAGAAGAGGGGACACCTTTTGGCCAGGACTCAGTGATGTCCCATGAGAAAGCCCTCGAAGTCCTGAAGAGCACAAAGAAGAAAGCTAGAAACCCAGTTTCCCTGCCAGTCCCCTCTAAATGGCTTCCTGGTGCCCACCCTGCCACCTCCCCCTTTCCCCTTGTCTGGCCAGGCTGGCGGGGCTGGCTCTGGGCCTCAGACACTCTGGAATCGCCAAGGTCTGAGCTCAGGGCCTGGCCCCCTTCCCAGGCTAACAGCCGGAGGAGGGGGGTGTTGCTTGAGAGCCCAGGGGCTGGGGAGGGGCACAGCAGGGCCCCAGGGTAGGAGTTGGCAGAGGCTGGAGAGGGGTCGAGAATTTGGTCAAGCAAGGCTGGAGAGGAGCCAGGCCTGTCCATTAACCTGCAAGGAAGACTGTGGTTTCTTGGGGGGAGGGGGCCAAGGCATACAGAGGGACCTACTAGGGGACCCCAGGAGTCCATCTCTGACTCATAGGTCTCAGCATGGGGTGAGGCTGACCAGAGCCAGGACACCAGCTAGTGAGCGTGGTACCAGACCCAACTCGCAGAGGGCACCAGGGGTGGCAATCTGTTTGGGAAAGAGGAGGCTTCAGGACTTACCTTCAGACACACCTGTCCAAGAAACTCCGTTTTTTACTTTGAGGATGGTTTATTGGGTAGCATTTTTTTTAAATTTATTTATTGCATGAGTGAGAGAAACAGACTGGAGAAAAAACAGAGATACAACAGCTCTGGCAGGATCCCCACGCTGCAGTTCACCTCTCAGCCAGCCCAGATCATGGGCACACTCAGGAAGGTCCAGCCCGTCGGTGGCAACCCTCCCATGTGGGTCTGTCTCCCAGAGCATCGCGTTTTACCACCGTGCAACTAGCTGGGCCCAGTATTCGGGCTGCCTTGGGGGAGCTGGGGGAGACCCTATATTGAGCCTCTGCTTGAATTGTTCAGTGAGCTCAGATCCTGTTCAGTACAGCCTGGGGTTGCCGGGCTGGAAGGGGGCAGCCCCCACGTTGCTAGGGCATCTCTGTTACTGGAATCCAGGAGATGGGAAAAGGGCCAGTCCCACCCTCCCTTGGGTCTCCAGTCACATGCAGTCAAGGAATAATGCTGAGTGCTTACCAACAGCCACGCCAGGCTGGGCATTTCATATGCACATTTTCCCTCACATTCATATGCCTAGAGCAGGCTGTGGCTCCCCTTGGAATGCAGCATGAACAGTCCAGGGCTGGAGTCTTAACCTCTCTAAGCCTCAGTTTTCTTGCCTGCAATAAGAGGAGGTAGTCATTCAAAGAGCCGAGAACCTACTACCTGCCAAGCTCTTGCCTACAAGTGGAGCTTCTGTGCAGGAGGAGATGGACACATGGCAAATCGGTCCCGCGTACTGTGACCACAGCAGAGGCTGGTGCTGGGACAGAAGAGAGCAGGGAACTGGAAGCACTAGTAGGACCCGGGGGTCCAGAAAGCCCTTCTGCAACGGGACTCGTCCACTGGAAGTTAACAGAAGAGCATCTGAGACAGAGAAGCATGTACGGGAAGACGCTGTGACGAAAAGATTGTTTACAAAGGAGGCGCAGGGTTAGGGGATGGGAAAGAGATTAGGTTCTTCCAGGAATCAAGAGAAGGCCAGTGGGACAACAGGGTGGGGAGGGGGAAAGAG